GAGGAGGAGCGGGTGGTTGACTATGTCAAAGGCAGCAGAAAGGTCAAGGAGTATGGAGTAGTGGCCATTGGTTTTAGCAGTTAGTAGGTCATTAGTGAGTTTCAGTAGGGCAGTTCCAGTAGAATGTTGTGGGTGGAAGCCAGACTGTAGAGGATTGAGAAGGTTGTTATCGGTGAGGTAGCAGTTCATACAGTTGTGAACAAGACGCTCAAGAAGCTTGGAGGCAAACGAGAGCAGGGAGATGGGTCTTAAGTTATTCAAACAGGTGGGGTCCAGCGAGGGTTTTTTGAGAATGGGGGTAACCAGTGCATGTTTGAGTGGGGAGCGAAAGATGCAATGGAGAGTGAGAGGTTGAAGATGTGGGTTACAGAGTTTAGGATAGGGCAGTGGGTTAGAGAGTTTAGGATGGAGCAGGAAGGAGGCTGCAATAATCGTGAGGGGACAGGGTCCAGGGGACAGGTGGTGAAGTGAGCCTTCGAAAGGAGTTCGGTAACTTCCTCAGTGGTAACAGGGTTGAAGGAGGAGAGTGTTGAGTTTGGTGTTGGGCCTGGTATTTTGGTTGGAGGAAGAAGCTTGACACTGGAGATCTCATCACGAATTGTGTTCTTGAAATGACTGGCAATCTCCTGGGCAGTAAGTAAGTAGGTGGGCAGAGGCAGTGGGGGATGGAGTAAAGAATTAAGGGTAGAAAAGAGTTAGGATGTGGAAATTTTTGAAAAAACTACTTGTACAGTGACTAAATCGGGGCCCCAATCTACTTGTTCCTCATGACAATCTACATGTCCAGATTAAAAAAAAAAAAAAAAAAAAAAAAATTTTAACCAAAACTGTATTTAAATGGGAGGTGATATTAGGAATGTGTGGGGATTTTAAAAACAAAAGTGGCTTTATGGCGACTTGAACGTGTAATATCTTTAACATTGCACTGTTTATCTCCTCCTCCCCCCTGCCTGTCTCCAGCAGCACCCCCGGGAACTAGCAGGGAGGAGAGAGACCTTTCAGTGTGATGAACACCGATTGGCTGATCGTCAGGAAAGGGTGGGTCAGGGCTTATCCTTTATTCCTTTCACTGCCAGAGCTGTTTGTGTGTTTTTTGCACAAGTTTAAAAAATAATTTTAGGCCTGAAGATTACATTAAAGCCCCTAACATTATATATTTTCTGAAAGCAGAGACTCTAGAGAATGAAATAGTGGTAGTTCCAATTTTTTATGTCGCATGATTTTACCGCACAATTTTAGTAAAAAATACAAGTAAGTTAATTTTAGGGCACAAAAGCAATAAATTGCCCTATTTTTTTGTAAAATATAAAAGACGAGGTTGCACCAAGTGAATAGATATCCAACTTGTCTAACCTTAAATTTGCGTGCGCTCATGAAATGGCAACAAACTTCAGTACCCTATATTTTCTGTAGGCAAAGCTTTTAAAACTCCCTATAGGTCATCAGTTTAGCGTTACAGAGGAGGTCTGGTGCTAGAATTATTGCTCTAATTCTGGCGTGCGTGGCGATATGCGACTTGTGTATCGCAAATGACGGTTTCATGCTTTTACATTTGTATGTGCGTATATGTGGGGGTGGGGGATGGTATGTGCTTGGGTGTAACTTTTCATTTTTTACAATAAAAAAAAATTTTTTTTTTTCATCACATAGGGGACAAAGGACACTGATGTCCCCTCTGAGGAATGCCGCGTACTGTCTCTCCTCTCCTCACAGGCTGTCAGCATGAGGAGAGGACTGCCGATAGCTGGCATTTCCTTGTTTACAAACGATTAGCTGTGTTTGGACACAGCTGATCACATGAAAAAGCCGATTTCGGTTGGTGATCTGCTGTGTCCCAGGGACACGGGGCACCACTGATCGCCGCGCGCCTCTGGGGGTGCGCATGTGCAGTTAGAGTGGGAGGACGTCATAGGGTTTATTTACTAAAGCTGGAGAGTCCAAAATCAGACTCCCTTCTGCATAGAAACCAATCAGCTTCCAGGTTTCATTGCCAAAGATTCATTGAACAAGCTGAGGTTAGAAGCTGATTGGTTTCTATGCAGAAGGGAGTCTGATTTTGGACTCTCCAGCTTTAGTAAATAAACCCCCATATGTCGTCCTCCCAAAATGAGAGAATTGCCGCCCGTCTGTCATTTCCTTATATGACAGGTGGGAGGCGGTTAACAAGTTATTTCTCACACACTGCATAGGCATACATTGCAATTACACCCCAAAACAAATTCTGCTACTTCTCTCAAGTAAGGGGATACCACATGTGTCAGATCTTTTTCACAGCCTAGCCACATAGAGGGGCCCAAAATCCAAGAAGCACCTTTGGGCTTTCAAGGAGCTTAAATTATGCGTGTAATTTCCTGACTGCCTATCACAATTTTAAAGGCGCTGGAGCACCAGGACATTGAAAGCACCCACAAAATTACCACAATTTGGAAAGGAAAACCCCAGTGTATTTTCTGTGAGGCATAGAGAATGTTGTCTTTTTTTGCCACAAGCTTTTTGAAAAATGTGGAAAGAAAACGAAAACGTTTATAGAATATAATAAACCACTCATATGCCACATTCATAAATATCAGATATATACCATGAACAAAATGTTGGACTTTACTGGCATTGAAAGGGCAACACACATGTATATATAAAAGTACAAATTGTATTTTTTATACAAAATAATCATAATACAATCCCTTTAAAAAAACAGGAATTGCTCAATATTGATACAAATATTTCCTACTACTGACTCGCTCTACCACATAATGAAGATGAACATATAAAAATTAGTTATATAGTAACCTCTGCTGAAGTCTATGGCAACCCACGGGTATACTGCACTTCACTTCACTGCTTCAGTGTGAAAGCACCCTAAAAGTTTGCTGATTGCTGCCCCACTTTGAATCTCTTGTAGTAGGATAAAAAAAGCAGGATAAAAAAAATTCTGAGCACCTTGTGAAGGATTAATGTCTTATGAGCTCTATATGACAGTATCTGTTCATATTGTCCAATAAGTGTTATTAAACCCAAAAGCAAACATTTTTTTATACCACAGCTTACCATTTCTTTGATGTGATAGCTGCACTAGTTTTCCTTTTTTTAGGCTTGCTTTTTTGTTTTCATCTGGTGATCTTGCAAGTAAGTCTGTTGTTTCTCAACAAAGCAAGTTCTCCTACAAATGTACCAGTTAGAGTGTTGAGGCAAGCCATTTACCACTGACTGGGTGCTTATAATGATCAGCTTTTATTTATGTAAAACCTATCCCAAAAGAAAAAATGTTGCCATAACTGCAGTGTGAGCTGGAGTTTAGTTTCAGTTTGTTAGTATATCTAAATCTACTAGTACAGCCAACATTCCCCTCCCCCCAGACTGACAGTGCTGTTGCCACTGTGCTCCTTCTTCCAGAGTGGAGGCAATGTGAAAACAGAAGGGGGAAAGCCTAAAAAAAAAGAAAACTAATACAGCAACCACATCTAATGATTGGTAAGCTGAAATATATTAATTTTTGGTTTGGTGTTTATTGCCGTTTTAATGGCATCCTACATTCATGATAGAACACAAAAAAGAAATCACAGGCTGCTACACCATGCAAGCCTTAAAGCATTTGAAAAGTTCTTTCTATAGTACAGGTCCAAGCCAAATCAGCCTTGCAGTTCTACATAAGGAGAGGTCACAATGACAAAGGAGAAATTTCCCCCAAAACATCTCCTAGTAACGGAACCCGAATACTGTTTGTAGGTGTACGTGGACACTGTTGATGGATAACGAGCAATGAAGGCAGGACTTCAATGAGACTTGTGCTTCCCAGACATTGTTACTCTTGCTGATCGCTCAGTTCACCCCTAATGCTAGTGGCCAAGTACCCTAGAAGGCTAAATTCACACTTTGTGGGCTGGTTGCAGGTATCGCACCTGTTCCCCCAGCCAAATCACACTGTGTTTGTGAGACATTTATTCGGAATGGCACTCCCATGCATCTCAGCTCACAGCGCGGGTGTGGGAATCACAGAAAAAAAACGCATGGTCAAAAAGACCATGTTTTTTTTTCCTGCTGCCGCGTTTTTAAAAACAAGTGCATGCACCTTTTTCCTGCAGGAAACGGCAGCACAGCAGCCCATTCAAGTGAATGGGCTACTGTACCTGAGCAAACATGGGCCGCACGGCCCGCAGTGTGGACTGAGCCTTAGAGGGAGCTAGTCTGATTTACCTACTTGCAATCCACACTAGGTTTTAATTTGTGAATGTATTATTCATTTCATGTGAGCTGTAAGTCAAGAAAAGAAAGCAAAGTTCTCCCTACGTTTCTGGTGACAGTCACTTGTCCTTGGACAAATATAATACAGTATATTAGCTCCCAGGCAAATGATATGAGGATGAGGGCTTAGCTTCTGGCAAGAATTTTCATATCAGGAATATTCTTTTTTAGGCTGCATTATTTGGGAAAAAAGGATGTCTAATGGAGCTGATTATAAAGGTATCTCTATGCTTAGTAAATAGGTTTACTTTAGTGACACACAAACCTAGTAAATTAATTAGCTGCTTGTATGACAGTTCTCCTATGCACAGTGGTATGGGGGGGGGGGGGGAAATTGTATTTTATATGATCCCCTAATAGTATTTTTATGTATAGTGTTCATATATTTGGTTACACATAGTCACTGAATTTAACAGCGATGTGATCACTATTTTTGTTCCATCATATAAGTTCTATAAGGTCCACCCTTATTCAGCCATACACTGATTCATTTTCGACCGGTTGATGAAGTGGCTGAAGTTCTTTCCATTGATAGCCTTGGTGGCGGCCTCCCACCCAACATTCTTTGGTTGAAAAATTGAAAAGGCCTGGCAGAAAATTGTGGGATGAAAAGTGGTTCCATCCATTCAGATGCAGCTGCTGTGCAGGTATTGCTGTTGTGGGGCCAGCTGTCATTACAGTAGCCACAGCAAGAGATTTGTCAATGTGTAGCATAGATAGAAGAATCTTTACGTCCAGCTTTTACATTGCACATACTAAACAAGCAGCTGTTTTTTGTTTTTTTTTCTCAGGATGATTTGCGGACAGATGGCAGAGGATGTGAAGACTACAGAGGGATTGAAGTGGAGACTGATGTTGTGTCAAACACTACTGGATCTGCCCGCGTAAAAATTGTAAGAGTCTGCCTCTTCTAGAAACGGGGTCTAGAGTCGGCAAAGGCCGCACTCATATTTCTGTCCTCACATGTTCACTTTAAAGCACAAACAATATAGAAAAATAGTGTCCGTGAGGTGCAGAAGAGGACCACCTATCCTCCCCATAGCCTGGGACTGGCACACTGTTTACCAGCTCTGGAGTTCATTGTTTTCGCTAGACTTGGGGGCATGCACAAAAATGGAAATGGTTCTGAGCAGACTGGCCATTATTCCTTAGGAGACCCTGTCTTCTCTGTCTGCAGCACAGCACATGTGCCCCACACTGATGGAAGCTATGAGTACTGATACTAGTAAAACCATGGGCAGGCTGTTTTTTGCGGATATCATGCTATAATTTATATACTTTTTTTTTTTTTTTTTTTTTCTTGGATGCAGGGGGTAGGGATCAAAATTCAATTTTAGAGTGTTACTGAACCACAACAGTAAAATCAGTCTGTAAATGCAGTAAAGCATGCTTGTTATACTCGCTGTGCAACTATGGGGTTAATCATCCGCATTGTGTAAACAGGATGTTTGGTCCTGTCTTCTCTGATCTCCCCTTCACTTACTGTCCCCAATCTATCTTCAGATAGAACAGAGCCTTGGTGGCAAGCTGGACATGTTCAGTTTTGGTGTGTATAGTTAGAGAGTTTTTTTTTTACAAGAAAAGGTATTTAGAAGTGTATATTTGATAAAATAATTGCATTTCCATGTTCTGTGTACTTTGAGAGACTAGGTATAGTGAATGCAGGGTTCTGGGTTTAGTAACCATTTAAGTAAATGTGCACTTAACCTTAAAAAAAAGTATGACTAAAGCTTTTTTTTTGGTTATACTTCTGGGTCACAGGAGTGCACTGTCACTTTTTCTCTTATCTACATGTACCTTTTCCATTTAAGAACTGATTGGCTTCTGCTCTGCTTCTTACTCTCACACTCTAGCCATGCTATACATGACTGATACATAATTATAAAAGCTTTTTTTCCAGACTCTTGCAAATGCCTGTAATGAAATACGGATCCTTATTTCATTTTTAGCATTTCTAAGATACAAGACCTTTTATGTGATACCAAAAATTATACAAGACCACAGCAGTATGTTTCTGCAGTACATGAGCATTATCCACATTTAGTGTCTTTAAAATTATGCAAGTACAGAAAATGACCTTTTGATCCTGCCACAAATCCATTGAGCTCCTAACTTCCTTTAGTAAGCTGATTACTCATTGCTGCTGCTATATTGAAATCCCAAGCAGTGTTATTCCCTCTGTCTACTTATACCTTCTGGACTCACTTCTGGAGCACCTCTTTCTTATGTTTAGCGATGAGGAGAAAGGGAAGTGTTCTGTGGTCCAGAAGGGAGGACTGCAGGTGGAAGAGTATTTTCAGCGCAGTGTCAGCTTGTATAGGAGATTGGGGGCCCACTGGATTTCTGACAGGCTCTTCAGATATTTTTCTGCGCTTGCATCATTTTTAAAGAGGCGTTCCAGACTCCCCCTAAGAAAAGTAAACGTCAGCGGCTACAAATACCGTAGCTGCTGACCTTTAATAAAAAGGATCGTAAACAATGTGGTAGTGTGACAAGAGCAACACCACCTAGAAAAAAGAGGTTACTTAAAGATCCACGCGGAGTAATGTAGGTTCAATAATTACAAAGAGTACTTTATTTGATCACATAGATCGTGGGGAGGTTAAGCAAAAGCACGGTGAACATATCAGACCAATAAAATCATTTAAAAGCACTTGGCGTCCTCATTTCTGGGTGATTTTGGCACATAGGGAACCATATAAGGCAATGGGGTATTATCTAGCTATATTCAAGCTAGATAATACCCCATTGCCTTATATGGTTCCCTATGTGCCAAAATCACCCAGAAATGAGGACGCCAAGTGCTTTTAAATGATTTTATTGGTCTGATATGTTCACCGTGCTTTTGCTTAATCTCCCCACGATCTATGTGATCAAATAAAGTACTCTTTATAATTATTGAACCTACATTACTCCGCGTGGATCTTTAAGTAACCTCTTTTTTCTAGGTGGTGTTGCTCTTGTCACACTACCACATTGTTTACTATGCATTTCCCGGTTTATAAATCCACACTTTTATGATAAGTGAGTCGGAGATAGTACTAGGACACAAACTATTTGTGCCTTTTACAGGTGGCTTTTTTCTGTTCTATTTTTGCGGTTTAATAAAAAGGACACTTACCTGTCCAGGGGTATAGAGCCGTTGTCACTCGGACTAGTTCTTCACTAGCCTCCGGGTTCCTGGCGCCATTATTGAAAATGAGGGAAACCAGAAGTGAAGCCTTTCCTACTGCACGTTCGCGAGTATGCCTTCACGAACTGAGCTGGAAGTGGGAGCGTGTACTTTTCAAAACCAGGTACCTGCTCCCCCCACCACCACAAAAAGTGCCATGTTATCAACATGTTATAGAGGCTTTACAACCTGGGTGGCTTCATTGTTGGAAAATGTTTCTCTGGCTACTTCAGATCATAAACAAAGTAGACACATAATTCACATGATTTTTTTTCTTTTGTTTCTTGTTTCAGGGTCACACAGATGTACTGGTTGGAGTCAAAGCAGAAATGGCGACACCTAAGTTAGAGCGGCCATGTGAAGGGTTCTTGGAGTTTTTTGTGGACTGGTTAGTAAATGCCCCATTTTATCATCATCTTAAATGTCACGTCAGTTAAACCATGGTAATGTGCATTATTGGTGTATGACTGTTGCAGTTTATTACGGATACAATTGTCTTCTGTTTTAATGCTATCTTAAGATTGAAAGTCTAATTTTCCTTTATGCCCTACTCCAGCCAAAATATTTTTTTTCTTGATGTGTGGAAAATGGTTAGGACCTCTTTCATGATTTATTTGATTTCCTTTTGGGGAAAATGTTCTCTCTCAAGGACCATACTAAAAGTGAAGAGAATCTACCCAATGGACACAGCCTTTAAAAAAAAAAAAAAAAAAAAAAAGGGTTATAAGGCTTTTCCACTATATACAAAAAGAGATTTTATTTTCTGTTTTTCTCCTCCTTGGCAGGAGTTCTTTCACTCCCTTTTCTAGCAACCACAGAAGTGTGAGAAAGTGTCCCCAACTGAGTCAAAAACAATCCAAGGCTATTAGAATTTCCACAGTATCTTAAACTTGAAAATTAAAAACCGTATTGACTTGAGAGTTGTCTCAATGTTAGTTTCCTAGAGCCTCATTGGCTTCTGGATGGAACTGTGGGCTCTTGCTAATTTTTCTGTGCTGTCTTCAATTCAAGAAATACAATCAATGTACTGCAATGCTTAAAGCAAAACTAAACTGACATCTTTGGCTGGTCTTGACTCAGGTTTATTGTCTTTGCTCATCTTCATTTGCCGGCCCAGGATGGTAACACTAAACTGGTTTTAAAAAAAAAAAAAATTCTATTTAAGGCTCCTTTCACACGGGCGTTCCATCTGTTGACAGATAAAAATTGGACAGCAATACATTCCTGTTGGCAAATGGATGTAAATAGATGTTTTCCGTTCTACATCAGTTTTTCGTTCACCTCCGTGTTTTTGTTTTTTAATGGAACAAGTCTTCATTTTTGTTCTCTTTAAAAAAACAGAAGCGAACAAAAAAATAGATGTAAATGGATGAAAAACTGATACAGTTGTGAACGGAATGAGTCTTAACTAAAGATGGATGTTACCTGATATAAACTGAATCCAATTTTCATAGCAAAAATTTAACTGAATGGATGATGGCCATGTGAAAGGGGTCCAAGTGTGTAATCTTAACTCAAAAAGTACATTCTGTTGCTCCCAGTCTCCTACAAATTCCTTTTTTCTTTTCTTTTTTTTTTTTTTTACACTTTGATCTGACTACCTGATGTCAGTTTTCCGTGAGCCCACTGTATGTAGGAACATAGCCATGCTCTTTCTCTCATAATGGGCTAGGGACTATGGACGATAGACTATGGGATTTGCAGTGTGCATAGAGCAGAGCACATGATCGCAACTAACGTGCACTGCTCGTTTCAAACAAATGGAAGAGGTGAAAGGAGAGGCTCAGGAGCTCATGGAGGACCTTACAAGGAAGCAGAAAAAAAGTAAGAAACAATTTTTCGAAAAATAAATTACAGGATCTTTCAGTAATGGATGAAACCTAAGACTAAGTGACATCTTTGCACATTATTAGTTTTAAACCCAGTACCCTGCATTCACTATATCTGGTCTCCCACAGTACACAGAACATGGAAATGGAATTATTTTAGTAAATATAAACGGCTAAGTACCTTTTCTCATCAGAAGTATATAGCAGTCTTGTGACTTCTTTCAGTGTCCAGCTGAGCACTAAAGCTTGCAGGAAGAGTTTTCATTCACCTCTGACTGATCCCCGATCTCACCGTAAACTGAGCTTGTAAAGAGTGACTCCTAGAGCTCTTTACTATCAGCAGATGTATCGGGGACAGTACAAGAGGGGGAGGAACAGAGAAGACAGGACCAAATAGCCTTTTTTACACAATGTTGAGGATTACCGCTTAGGTTCTAAAGTGAGTATAACAAAAAAGGCTTTACTGCATATACAGACTGATTTTACTATTGTGAGTTTAATAAAACTTTAAGAATATCTTCATTGCCTTTTGGTAACTAACGTGAATAGTTTCTAAATGACCCTGAGGTGTATATAATCTATGCAGCAAAATTTGGATGAAATTTGTAATTGTAGGTTCATAGTCTCAGCATTTAGTTTTCTATGTCCACCATGTCACTTATTATCAGAGCATGGCCTCTTGTACTGACAATGCTGGAAATAATAAATGCCCTGAACAGATAGTCATTGATGATTTGCTAGATTTGATTAATTTGTGTTTTTGAGGAAAAGAATTACTGTATTGCTGACCTCCCTCCTAAAATTGTAATTCCCTGGCTGTCTATAGAGCTGGTACTTTCAGTCATTGACCTGAACAAGCATGTGTAAGTGTGTAGTATCTACATACTACTTCTAGGTTTGTCACTCCGAATGCACTTACCTACTTGACCACTGGGAGGTTTCACCCCCTTCACAACCAGGCCAATTTTTGCTATTTAGCACTGCGCTACTTTAACTGGTAATTGCGCAGACATACAAACCTGTAGCCAAATAAAATTTATACCATTTTTTTTTTTCACACAAATAGAGCTTACTGTTGGGGGTTTTGATCAACGCTGTTTTTTGTGTTTTTTTTTATTATATAAATGAAAACATATGGAAAACTTTTGAAAAAAATACAATATTTTTTTTTACTTTCTACTATAAAACCTATCCATTAAAAATTTAAATTTCTTCAGAAATTATAAATATAATATATTAATAGTAAAAAGGTCAGGTCTGAGCATGTAGGCCCTTTACAAAATAATCTAGAGTGGGTGACTGGGGACAAAGAGAAGGTAAATTTATTAAATACCTTCTTCAGCTCTGTGTATACAAAGGAGCATGGAGGAGCTCTTGTCCATAATGGGCATGGTATTGACACAGCTCCAGATTATCCACATTGGCTCACAACTGCTATATTCCAGAAATATTTGACAGAATAAAGGTGAATAAAGCACCTGGACTGGATGGCATACACCCACGGGTCCTGAAAGAATTGCTCTCTGTCATTTTCAAAGCCATTGTTTCTCATTTTTAGGGACTCTTTAATAACTGGCATAGTACCACTGGATTGGCGTAAGGCCAATGTGGTGCCAATATTTAAAAAGGGGTCAAAGTCTTTACCAAGTGATTATAGACCTGTTAGCTTAACTTCTATAGTTGGGAAGATACTGGAGAGCTTAATAAAACACCACTTAGATGAGTTCTTGCTGGAAAAAATATTTTAAGCAACAGACAGAATGGATTCATGGAAGACAGAAGTTGTCAAACAAATCTGATTTCTTTTTTTTATGAGGAGGTGAGCAAAACCTTGGACAGAGGGGTGGCGGTGGACGTGGTATACTTGGATTTTACAAAAGTGTTTGACACAGTTCCCCACACACGGCTAATGTGTAAGGTAAAGTGTACAGGTTTGGAAAAATCTGTATGCAAATGGGTAGAAAAACGGGCTTAACTATCGTATTCAGAGAGTTGTGGTTAATGATTCATACTCTGACTTGTTAGTGGTTCAGTGTTGGGACCCTTACTTTTTAATATGTGTATAAACGATTTAGGGTCTTGTAGTAGAAATCCCATTTCAGTCTTTGCAGATGACCCCAAGCTTTGCAGATGAATAACGTCCTTACAGGATGTCTCCAACTTACAAGCTGACCTCAATGCACTGTTAAATTGGGCAACCAAGTAGCAAATGACTTTTAATGTTGATAAATTGTAAGGTTATGCACTTGAGGGCTAAGAATATGCATGCAGCATAAATACTGGCGGGGGGGGGGGGGTATAACTGGGGGAATCAATGGTGGAGAAGGATCTGGGAGTTCTGGTAGATCACAAGCTTAATAATGGTATGCAATGCCAAGCTGCGGTTTCTAAGTGTATATTATTTGGTTTGTGTTAGCAGGCAGGTAGGTTTTTTTTTTTTTTTTGCCTTTATCTTTCAGGTATATCATACCCTATGTGATAAAAAAAAAAAGTCTTCCTTACCAAGTCTGTGACGAAAAAACAACACTTTTTTTTCAAAATTTTTTGACTTTTTCATTTATATAGCAAAAAAAATAAAAATCCCAGAGGTTAATAAATAACACCAAAATAAAGTTTTATCTGTCTCAAAAAAATGCTAAAAAATTCATATGGGTACAGTGTTGCATGACCGCGCAATTGTCATTCAAAGTGTGACAGTGCTGAAAGCTGAAAATTGGCCTGGACAGGAAGGGGGTAAAAGTGTTCAGACTTGAAGTGGTTAAGGACTTCTCTTTAGTCCAGTAAAATGTAGTATCTGTGGTGATTTTTACTATATATCTATCTCAGAAAAGCAATTGCCATATACTGCTGTTCATATCTAAACAGAAATTGCAATGACTTGAGAATGTGTAAGTGGGTCACAGCAGGAACTCATTGAGTGTTTTCAACTGGGATTTAGAACTTTCTTTTTGTGCTCATGTGTCCGATTACTGAGTGTCTTACTTTATTAAACTATCTGCATACTGTACATTCAGGCTGTGATCATCAATCCAAATTAAACCAGCTCTATGATTCAGGTCATAACGCTGATTGAAAGTTTTGAAGCTTCTTGCTGGTTGTGTGCCACTGCTCACTGTAATTTTTATTTAATATAAAATCCCTTGCATGTTATTAATTACACATTGGAATAAGCCATCCACTGTTTCTCATGCCAATCCATTCAGTAACTCCCTAAAATAACTAAAATCTAATAAACTATTACAATAGCAAACTGTTTTTAAAAGAAAAAAAACAAAGTGATGGATCGTGGTCTTCACAACTCAATGTCTGGGAGAGGAGACCAAATTAATGTTTTGCGAACATCTGGTACTGTAATGACAGCCAGAGGTATTTGGACAAAAACACTGAGCACTTTCTAAAAGATTACTGCTTACAACATCAAAGGTAGAAAGTCACATGTGGCACACAAGCTCATAAAACATAAAATCATGTAAATCAACATGGTTACAAAATAATTGATAACTTAGGACAGTGTTTTTCAACCTTTGCTCAGTTAAGACAACCTTTAAAATTGGCAACCTTTAAAATCGTGCACAATCTCGAGACACCCATCCTAAAATGTAAAAAAAATAAACTAATAGTTTTACATGTTGCAGCAACACCCACACACATAGAACTCCAAAGTTAGAGGTAATTTATTCCTCCAAAGTAAATATACCTTTGCACACTGGTACTGACTAGTATTCCAATGTTTCCTTTCTCCCTCAGTTTCTCTCAATCAGCTAATGAGACCCTAGTGCTGAGGGGCAGAAGAGGAGCAAACAAGGATGCTGTGCTGGTGTCCAGTGTCCTCCTTTTTGATCAGTGGCGTCATTGGTTGTTAGGTCGCCAGCAGCTAGAAGGTTGTAAAGCAGCACAATGAAAATCTGAGGCTTTCTGTAACTAAAAGGCAGGCTTCATCCATCCACTAGCTTGTATACAATTTTAGGCAATTTTTGGGAATGTTGCCAAGGCACTCTGGTTAAAGGCTGACTTAGGGCTCAGAAGCTCTCTGCTAAAAGACAATCCATTCAAATATGCTATGGGGCCACTTTCTGATATATCATGTAGGAACAGAACTTAGAAAAGTGTGAAATAATAAAAACATGCCTGATGAAGGGGTCCTGCGAGAGGTCACATGCCTGATGAAGGGGTCCTGCGAGACTCCGAAACGTTGCCTTGCTGTAACTTTGTGATCGTTTATTAAAACATTTTGGACCCATATTGGTGATCCTTGGTGTGCTGGTGACATTCTCCCTTGCTGATTCTGTTCGGTTCCAGCCGACGGTCGCTGCAGCACCCACTTATATACACACAGCCATTTTTAATGCAGGAACGTTTGGATTGTACACTTGCATAATAAAAACATATTCACATTGAATGCATATGTGTATTTGTAGTGATTGCATTAATATATGCTTTGCCTGTTAGTTTTCCAGACAGAAAGACAGTAGTCATGCTTGTACCCTGTATTTGTGTCAACACTATTGACATAAGTTTTTAAAAAAATATTTGTTCTTTGGTTGGCTAACTTTAGAATTGATCTCGTTGTATAGCTCTCTCTGATGGGATTGTTGCTTTTTTAGTTCGGCAAACGCAACTCCAGAGTTTGAAGGTCGTGGGGGAGACGAGCTTGGCACAGAAATTGCAAATACGCTGTACAAGATATTTGATAACAAGAGCAGTATTGACCTTGAATCCCTTTGCATTTTGCCAAGAGAGCACTGCTGGGCCCTTTATATTGATGTTCTGGTAAGTGACAGACAACACAGTTAATCACTTTTCCTAAAATGAAAGGGAATGTATAGAGGGTTGGTACACATATTGATGTTCTGGTAAGTGACAGACGACACAATTAATAACTTTTCCTGCAATGAAAGAGAATTTATAGTGGGTGGTACAACTTTTCTTTATTTTACGTGGGCCTACCAAATGTTTCAAAATAGTTTTTTTTTTTTTTTTTTTTTTTTTTCTGAGCATATAAAGATAATCGGGGGCAGTTCAAAAAAGCATTTGTGGCACTTGTCTAGCATTATGGCAACAATAGCAAGTCCTTTGCCAAATGCATGAAAGTCATGCAACATTTTATTACCCCTTTCTGAGGCATAGGGCAAAGTTGGGTAGTTCTTGTGTGGGACACATTTACACTCTGATGCTGTAGCTGCAACAAATTCCTTAAGAAATGGTGTTATATTGGTGATCAGAAAAGTGCAGGTACATACTCCTTTTTGTAATGGAGTAAATTGTGCTGCACTTGTGTAAAGTGTAATTCTGCAACAGACTCTCATATACACGTTACTGACAGTTACATGAATCTGACTCAAGTCGAGCCATTTTGTTGCACAGATGAGAGACAGATTTTTAATTGGTGTCTACCATATCCTCTATATTTCAGGGATAGTGTCTTTTTTTTCTAGACAACTAATGCCAGTTTAGGCTGCTTTTGACATTTTTCATTATTCCCTGCTTCCTGTTGGAAAACCTTTCCATTTAACAGAGTTTAACCCCTTGGCGCCAGCGTATCCCAGCCCTTTAAGGGTTTCAAAAGCTGGGAGGCAGGGCAGGATTTTAGGGTCATGTGACCGCCGTGATTTGCTGTCATTGCAGTCACATGATCGGGAAAGGTTCCGATCGAAAGACCTTTCTGTGAGTACTGGACGTGTGTGCTGGGAGCACGCAGGGCGCACGCTCTCAGCACATATGTTTTCTTAATTGCACGGAAATGTGCGGACCGCTCGGCATCAAGGCCCAGATGTGCGGCCTGCACGAAGAGGTTAAAGTATATGTAAACCCTCACCATATAAAGCATCCTATTCAGATTAAAACAGAAATGAAAGGCAAACATTTTGTGTACAGTTGTATAAACATTATAAATACACTTCTTTTTTTTTTTCCTGTTTTTTATAAGCGATCACATACCCTCTAAGCTCCTTCTGCAGCTGAGAACAGAGAGTTGGGGGAGGACAAACAGCAGCACACTGAACTTGCCAGTAAATGGCTGTGCAGGGGGGTCTCAGAACAAGTCTGATCATTGGAGGAGAGCAGGTTGAATTCCCGGCACAGCTAGAGAACTAACCACACTTTGCTCTAATGCCTTGTGTGGTCAGTTTTTAATAAGAGTGACACCATGGATTTCACACAAAGGAAGCAATACAAAGAGAACAGGATACTTTTTCATACAAGTACATGGTACAGCAGACACAAATCAGGAATATAAAATTTTGGGTTTACATACTCCTTTAAATAGCTCAAATTGAAACGTACACACGTTAATCAGAGCAGTAACTCCTTCCCCTTTCTTTCTCTATTCATGATTCCCCAAGGTTTCAGTGATAGACCGCATTGAATGAAAGGGAACTGCTGTGGTCTGTTTAGAAAACCCAAAGTACTCTGAAAATCATTTGCCATGTATTCAATGTTTGTAAAATAAAAGCGACCACATCCTGCACCAGTTTCATCAGACTTTATCCTCAATTAAACATCCATAGTGCTCTCCATTTTTGTTTTATTTTGATCAAACAAGATTAAAAACACTCACATCAGCTCAGAACATGTGACAGCAAAAAACAATTCTTTTTCATATACTAATCCTCCCACTAGTGTCCTGTCCTGTGCTTGTTTGCCTTTTACTAAAGAGTAGCTCAACCCTTAGTCAGACTATATAGATTGCATCCCTAGTGAAGCAGCTCTTCAAGGGAAATTTGTTGGATAAACAGACATTCTAAATTTGCCTGTTTGGTTCTACAGTACTCAGACCACCTGTTGCGTACAAGTTTATCTCTTGTATACATATGCAACGCCTCTTTTATTCGATCATTTAGATTTTTTTGCGGTGTATGTCCCAGTATACAGCTGAATCTCAGTAATCATACTTAGTTCTTGGAAATTTCATTGTTTGTTCATAAAAGACTTGATTTAGGCTATTGGTAGTTATAATCACACAAGCATTCTAAATGGCCACCTGACTACTTGTTCATTGTGTGTTCTTTTGATGAAGATTAAAGCTTTGGCTAGGTCACAGAAAACAAGTGATAAATTAGCTGTTTTTCATCATGAATTTGCCGCCAACTCTGTTCCATGTAGAAATAATATTTAATAGCAACATTTACATGCTGCTCAGAATTAAAAATGATCCTCCCAGTTTTTACAACTTTTACTGGATGTGTATTGTATTTCTAGTAATACTGGGGATTTTTTTTCTTTTGTTTTTGTTTTTTTTCCCTTGTGATGCAGGTTTTACAATGTGGCGGAAACCTTTTTGATACAATGTCTGTTGGTGTGAAGGCAGCATTATTTAATACAAGGTAAGAGAGAACATTTGTAACAATTACCTTTTGGTTTTTCTTACTGCTTAATTAACTTGATTTAGCAGAGACCAGCCACATTTCAATCCATGTATAGGCACTGTGGTTGTGCGGAAGTCGATCAGATGCTTTGACTTTTGTACAACCGCCCTGTCGGATTTCCCCCACTCGACCAGTGCTGCAGGCTAATGGCTGTAACTTGCATCAATGCATTCTGGTGATGAGGAAGTCTTCCTGCTGCCAGAAAACAATAGCTTAGCAGGGAGCATTCCCTTATCTTTTTTGAATGTATAGATTGGGGAATCTGGTCATTTTTTTGTTCAACCCTTTCGTTCAATATACAAAAAAAAAAAACCCGCTAAAGTGTGGGCTACCTTAGAGAGGCGACATCAGTGGATTGGTGACATGGATGTAGTAAGCCTGCTGGAGTCAGGAATAAAGTATTACTATTTATTTACTGTACCTCTTAGATCAGCCTTTCTCAACCTTTTACCCCAGGGGGCCCCCTAAAATAATTTTAGGTCTTGGGGAACCCTTAAAGCTAGTACACATGGGCTGAGTATCAGCCAGTTCAACAGAAACTGGCTGGCATTCGGTCAGTGTGTACAGCAGCCTGTCCATCAGAAGCCATTCTAATGACCGGCTTTTGTTGAACGGGCATGCTGGAAAACCAGCATTTGACCAGCGACTGGGTGGGGGCAGTTTCCCTGTCAGAACACAATATCTCAGCGGGGGAAATCGCCGCATTGGTATCTTAGTACGGCAACTACTTGGTTGAACGAATAGAAAATTCCTGTGTGTGCCTATTATTAATGAAATCAGTTCATCTAGGGGCAATGGGAAAAATTCCTATATATTGGTAGTCTATAGGACGAAAAAAACTCAGAGCGCTGGTCAGAATGCCTCTCTTACAGATAGCTAAAAAGATAATTGGCGGCATTATTATTATTATTATTATTCAGTATTTATAAAGTGCCAATAGTTCGCTCAGCGCTGTACATTACAAAGGGGGACAGAACATGTCACAGAACAATACCAATACAATGCAAAACATGAGGGGTGCGAGGGCCCTGCTCTTTCGAGCTTACAATCTAGGAGGGAGGGGATTGGTGGCACAGGAGGAGATAGCTGTGGGGGATGGAGTGGTAGGAAGAGTGGAGGAGGTCGGCAAGTTTAGCAGGGGGTGGGGTAGGCTTCCCTGAAGAGATGGGTTTTTCAGGGTGCGCCTAAAGGAGAGGAGAGTAGGTGATAATCTGATGGGTTGGGGCAGGGAGTTCCAGAGGATGGGTGACACCCTGGAGAAGTCCTGGAGGCTGGCGTGGGAGAAGGAGACCAGGGAACTAGAGAGGAAGGAGGTCTTGTGAGGAGCGGAGTGTGCGTGCTGGGCGGTACTTGGATATTAGGTCAGTGATGTAGTTCGGTATAGGGGCAGTATGGTGGACAGCTTTGTACGTCAGCGTTAGGATTTTGAATTTGATCCGTTGCGCAATTGGAAGCCAGTGGAGGGATTGGCAGAGGGGGGGTGGCGGAGAAGGAGCGGTTGGAAAGGTGAATGAGTCTGGCAGCCGTATTCAGGATCGACTGAAGTGGGATAGCAGCGGCGAGGCAGGCCAGTGAGGAGGGAGTTGCAGTAGTCGAGTCGTGATATGATGAGGGAGTGGATGAGCTGTTTAGGGGTTTCTGGGGTTAGGAACGTGCGGATTTTGGCGATGTTGCGGAGGTGGAGTCTGCACGAGTTTGTTAAAGATTGTACTTGGTGCTGGAAGGATAGGTTGGAGTCCAGAATGACACCAAGTACTCTGGCCTGCGGGCCATGCTGTTGGCTTTGCCAAGTGGCTTTGGTTCTGGAAATATGCAGGCACCATCAAATGGGATTCAATCAACCACAGCTCATGGAACCCTAATAACCTCTGGAGGAACCCTAGGGTTCCATGGAACCCTTGATGAGAATGGCTGCTCTATGCTAAACTATATGCCTATTCAAGTGAGGACTAATGAGGTATCTCAGATTTAATTTTAAAGGTCCCCAACAAATGTGGAGTCTTTGGCCTGGGAAAGGTAAATTGCCTGGCCACCAGTTAATGCTAACTAGTATAATCCCTTTTAGTGGCCTCCCCTCAGTTGAATTCTTATAAGCATTCCCTACCACCTAATCTGCTTGTGTTATATGTAAATCTCTGGATTTTCTCATGTTTGCTTCTTAATAAAAAAGTAATGCTAGAAGCTCTGTGGATAAAGCTGTTCTTTGCTTCATGTATTTACCATCTTGCTCTTTTTTTTGTCATTACATATAGCACAGGATCTTGGGCGAGCATAGGGATATGGTCTAATGTGTAAACCACAAACTTGCCTATAATTTTGGCGCACGCTTTGCTGTGCAACATCTGCACTGCATCTGTCAACTCCACTCCAGATTTTAATGGCTTTAAATGAATTAGTTGGCATTAGCTCTTAGATGCCTCTCAAGTACAACTGTGCAATATTAGTATAAATATAAAAATAGCTGCTACTCGGGCAGTAATGTGCAAAGTTCAACGTACCACTTTGTTATTCTTTTTTTTTTTTTTTTTTTTTTTTTTTTAAATAGCCTTACCCCTCTGCTATGTGAGCTGCCATTTGTGTGCTGTGCTTTCCCTACTATTAATGCAGCTTTTAGTTTTGGTGCCCTGTAGTGTTGTCGGCTGTGTGTTAATCCAGAGTATTCTTCTTTTTGTTAGTGAAAAAAAAAAAAGTGTTTTTTTTTTACGTTACGACACAGAGGTGGCTCTGAAATGAGCTGCTTGCTCTGGGGGCACTCGGCGTGTGGGAGGAGCCAGCAGCGCTGGTACAGACCCGAGAAGAGAATCAGGGCAGCTCTGTGTAAAACTATTGCACAGAGCAAATAATTATAACATGTTTGTTATTTTAAAAATAAAAAATAGATTTTTTTTACTGTCACTTCAACCTCATTCTAACCATACAACTTTAGCCCCTAACCTAAAACCTTTGAAAGGCTGAAGTTAAATTTTTGAAAATGTCATGGATGCATACTACCAGTCCCAGTTCAATGGAACTAAATATCTGGTACTGAATGTGTTCTTTGGCTAGGGAGTAGAGAAATGATAGAGATATTGTGGATGAGAATGAAACCGAAAGACATATTAAAATTAAACAGTGCTAAAGTAGAAAAGTGGTAGTAGAAGAAGATAGTCATTACGGTGGCCTGTGTAATCCATTACCCGTGGGTTATGCTTTTCCTATTCATGCATCTCTGTATGCTCTATATCTACCTCTACAGTATCTCACAGAAGTGAGTACACCCCTCACATTTTTGTAAATATTTATTATATCTTTTCAGGTGACAACACTGAAGAAATGACACTTTTCTACAATGTAAATTAGTGAGTGTACAGCTTGTATAACAGTGTAAATTTGCTGTCCCCTCAAAATAATGCAACACACAGCCATTAATGTCTAAACTGCTGGCAACAAAAGTGAGTACACCTCTAAGTGAAAATGTCAAATTGGGCCCAATTAGCCATTTTCCCTCCCCGATGTCATGTGACTCATTAGTGTTACAAGGTCTCAGGTGTGAATGGGGAGCAGGTGTGTTAAATTTTGGTGTTATCGCTCTCACTCTCTCATACTGGTCACTGGAAGTTCAACATGGCACCTCATGGCAAAGAAAAAATGAATTGCTCTACATAAAGGTGGCCTAAGCTATAAGAAGATTGCCAAGACCCTGAAACTGAGCTGCAGCACAATTGCTAAGACCATACAGCGGTTTAACAGGACAGGTTCCACTCAGAACAGGGCCTCGCCATGGTCCACCAAGAAGTTGAGTGCACGTGCTCAGCGTCATATCCAGAGGTTGTCTTTGGGAAATAGATGTATTAGTGCTGCTAGCATTGCTGCAGAGGTTGAAGGAGTGGGGGGGGGGGGAGTCAGCCTGTCGGTGCTCAGACCATACGCCACACACTACATCAAATTGGTCTGCATGGCTGTTGTCCCAGAAGGAAGCCTCTTCCAAAGATGATGCACAAGAAAGCCCGTAAACAGTTTGCTGAAGACAAGCAGACTAAGGACATGGATTACTGGAACCATGTACTGTGGTCTGATGAGACCAAGATAAACTGATTTGGTTCAAATGGTGTCAAGCGTGTGTGGCGGCAACCAGGTGAGGAGTACAAAGACAAGTGTGTCTTGCCTACAGTCAAGCATGGTGGTGGGAGTGTCATGGTTTGGGGCTGCATGAGTGCTGCCGGCACTGGGGAGCTACAGTTCATTGAGGGAATCATGAATGCCAACATGTACTGTGACATACTGAAGCAGAGCATGATCCCCTCCCTTCAGAGACTGGGCCACAGGGCAGTCTCCAACATAACGACCCCAAACATACCTCCAAAATGACCTGCCTTGCTAAGAAGGTGATGGCACTGGGGAGCTACAGTTCATTGAGGGAATCATGAATGCCAACATGTACTGTGACATACTGAAGCAGAGCATGATCCCCTCCCTTCAGAGACTGGGCCACAGGGCAGTATTCCAACATAACGACCCCAAACATACCTCCAAAATGACCACTGCCTTGCTAAGAAGGTGATGGACTGGCTAAGCATGTCTCCAGACCTAAACCCTATTGAGCATCTGTGGGGCATCCTCAAACGGAAGGTGGAGGAGCGCAAGGTCTCTAACATCCACCAGCTCGGTGATGTCATCATGGAGGAGTGGAAGAGGACTCCAGTGGCAATCTGTGAAGCTCTGGTGAACTCCATGCCCAAGAGGGTTAAGGCAGTGCTGGAAAATAATGGTGGCCACACAAAATATTGACACTTTGGGCCCAATTTGGACATTTTCACTTAGGGGTGTACTCACTTTTGTTGCCAGCAATTTAGACATTAATGGCCGTGTGTGTTGCGTTATTTTGAGGGGACAGCAAATTTACACTTTATATAAGCTGTACACTCACTACTTTACATTGTAGCAAAGTGTCATTTCTTCAGTGTTTTTCACATGAAAAGATATAATAAAATATTTACAAAAATGTGAGGGGTGGACTTACTTCTGTGGAATACTGTATATATCCACATAAACGTGTACAGATCAAATGTGTGCTGTATTATTATTTTGTAGTACAGTGTTATCTTCTCTACTTCATGAATAATCCTGTTGCTGGCTTTTGATTTGCTATTTATAAAGTAAGAGCATATTGGTGGTGTCATGACAGGCAGACAATGTGAAGAATGTCTGTGAAGTTCTATGGTGCCCTGCTGAACACTTGAAAGCAATGCAATCCACATGTTCTGCTTTAGAATCCCTTTGTTGTAATCCTTGTTGGGAAGCGTGTTTATCCAGTAGGCAGTGAAATTGTGAAATCCTGTGTTGGTGTTCAGTATGTGAAACACCACAGAACTGGATAGATAGTATGAAGAGCCAAGCCAGCTAGAAAGGTGTTTTTTAGCAGCTGCAGAATATCTTCTTCCCTTTATGAAGAACTTCATACACAAATGCTATGGACAATACAGGCTTCTTGTTGGAACAAAACATCTCTTTGAAAAAAAATTTGCATGTAAGAAGACCTTACATAACAATTTGGAATGAAGAGCACCTGGTTTTCTTGAGACTTGGACCCTTTAGGGTTTATTTACTAAAACCGAAGAGTGCAAAATCTATTGCGGCTGTGCATGGTAGCCAATCAGCTTTTAATTTCATCTTGTTCAATTAAGCTTTGACAAAAAAAAAAAAAGAAAGATGATTGGTTTCTATGCAGACCTGCACCAGATTTTGCACTCTGTGGTTTTAGTAAATCAACCGCTTTCTGTTGAACTTTCAGTCATACTTAAAAAATTGACTGGGTGTTTTTTTAAATTTAAAAAAAAAAAAAAAAAAAAAAACTAGAATGTTTTGGGAGAGCCTACACTTGGCGGCTGAACAGAAAATTTTAATTGCATTGCCAATTGCCTCACTAAACCAGTTTTGACTACTCTGACTCCATCAACATATGCTTCATAAAAATTAACGATTGTGTACGCTGTCACCTCTGATGTCATGTGGTAACAGTTTTATCAAGTCAGAATTGGTGCCTGCAATAAATTGTAATTTAAGTATAAGTTCACCTTTTAACCACTTCAAGTCCGAACACTTTTCCCCCTTCCTGTCCAGGCCAATTTTCAGCTTTCAGCGCTATCACACTTTGAATGACAATTGTGCGTCATGCAACACTGTACCCATATGAATTTTTAGTATTTTTTTGAGACCGATAAAGCTTTATTTTGGTGGTATTTATTCACCACTGGGATTTCTATGTTTTTTTTGCTATATAAATGAAAATGTCCAAAATTTAAAAAAAAAAAAAACGTTTTTCTTATTCTTATAAACTTTTGCAAATAATCTTTCTTCATAAATCTTGGCCAAAATGTATTCAGTTATATTTTTAGTAAAAAAAAAATAACCCAAATTAGTTTCATAACCAAAAATTATCATTTTAAAAAAAATTTTTATTTTATTTTTTTATTCTATTTGTTTTTGGGGTTTTTTTTTTTGGTTTTTTTTTACATACCGTCACCCTAGCAGTACAGTGTCATTATGGTGACACTGTACTACTTGTGGGGGGTAATGAAGATTTTTTTTTTTTTTTTTTTACACAAATTGCTTTTAGACCCATAAAGGCTGTAAAAGCAATCCTTTCTCCTCTCTCTGGCTGCATTCTTGCAGCCATTAAGAAATACTGTGTGAGCTGTGATTGGTCACAGCTTGTCACATAGTACATGGCTGTTGTAAATAGCCTTGTACCATGTGACCTCTGTGATCATTCACAGATTTCACATGCAGCAAGCAATGATGTCAGAAGTGACATCTTGCTTGCTACTCTAGCAAGTGATGTCACTTTTGTTTTAGCACTGATCATTGTATTGGTGTCACTGGGAGTGTCAGTGACACCAAGTCAGTACCCACCCCAGTGTCAGAATGCTCGTCGCAGTCCAGCTATAAGTCATTGATCGCCTCCATTATTAGTAAAAAAAAAAAAACTTCCAGTATCTATACCGCCATTTGTAAACGCTATAAACTTTCGCATAAAGCAATTCATTTACACGTATTGTTTTTTTTTTTTTTAGCAAAGACATAGCAGAATACATTTTGGCGTAAGTTTGTTGAAATTAGATTTTTTAAATTGTTTTTACTGGACATGTTTAATAGCAAAAAGGTCAAAATTATTGTGGTTTTTTTTTTTTTTTTTTTTCCTCAAAATTGTCGGTCCTCCTTTTTTTTTTTTTTTTTTTTTTTTTTTTTTTTTTTTTTTTTACAGTGCAAAAAATAAAAAATGCACAGGCGAGCAAATACCACTGAAAGAAAGCTCAATTTGTGGGGAAAAAAGGACATAAACTTAATTTGGGTGCAGTGTTGCATGACCGCGCAATTGTCAGTTAAAGTAACGCAGTGCCATAATGCAAAAAATGGCCTGGTCAGGAATGGGGGAAAATCCTCAGAAGGGCAAGTGGTTAAGGACTGCACTAGTCTGTGGTTGTATAGTGAAGAAGCAGCAACACATTGATTGGGTCAATTATGTAGTCTCCCTTCCTATCAGCTAGGCATCCCTCTTATTTTGCAACATAGTAAAGCCAAAGTTGTCCCCCTGCAGGCTGAGCTAGTATACTGACTCATCTATTCATATGGCACTAGGGCATTCAGAACACTTGGCTTCATGCACTCTGGACATTCCTCTATCTCTCCTGGATGTCTTTCCACCTTACAGAGGCATTTTGGCATTAAAAAAAAAAACAATTGCAAAAGTGTTTAACATGTTTTGGCACATTTAGGTGCATTTAGGCACGGCAAGCATTTGAGCGTTAATTTTTGTCAAAACGCCGCTGCTCTTTGACACTCTGGCAGTGGGGTTTTTATCTGCCGTTAAACGCCTATGCATCTAGACTCCTCTAAAAATCTGCGTGCATAGATACAAAGGTTAACATACAGGGGTGTTTAGAGGCAAGGGAACAAAGACACCAGACACCTCCTATGAGCAGGTGAAAAAACATCCAATGTGCATGAGGCCTTAGTAATAATAAGTATGCCAAGCAAATATGATCAGATTGACAATAGCTTATTTTTACTTGTATAAAAAAAAAAAAAAAGGATGCCTCCATGTCACTAAATAGAGGAATCGGAGTAGTCCAGTAAAAGTAAAAAAAAAAAATAAACCTTTTTATTTATATATCTATCTATCTATATCCATATATATATATATATATATATATATATATATCTATATCTAACTAAACATATTTAATGTTTAATGTGTATTTAGGATTCCTAAAGTGAGTGTTTTGGAAGATGAAACGGGAACCAAAGAAATTGAACTGTCAGATGATCCTTATGACTGCATGCGGCTAAATGTAGAAGATGTTCCGTGTATTGTCACACTTTGCAAAGTAAGTACTGTTGTACTTTTATTTTTATTTTTTTTTTTATATTTTTTTTTGAGAAAAAAAAATTGCAAGATGCAGTCATAAAATCCAATTCACTAAAAAGGACTATTAAATACATTACAAAATATATATGTAGTATCATTCTTGGATCTTACAACATAAAGATCCCCCTGCCATAATCCCCAGACTCTTGTTTCTCTGCACCTGGGGGTTTTACATGTTCTCATTGACCTCTGCCTGTTCCAGCACATGCTGTTGCATTTCCTCATAATATACAATTATAGAAATCAAAAAGGGAGAGTTGGAGACCTGCATAATGGCCACGACATTTAAGAAAACCCAGGATCTCTCACAGAGTACCATAGAGATATTAGAAATGGTCAGGTGGTTTCTTTCTCCAGGACTTGTCAAAATTTGAGATATCAGAACTGGATTGACTGTCCCTCTATTCAAGAAGCATTGCTGGTTTAATATAGTCAGAAAATTCCCCAAATTGGACTTAAAGTATAACTAAAGTCAAAACTTTTTTTTTTTGTTTGTTTTGCATATAGTACCGCGGGTTTAGATCATCTGTCAGTTTTTCATTGCTGTCTGTGTCCCGATTGTGACTATAGGTTTTCTATACTCCTAGTGAGGTATAAACACTCTTCTCACGTTGATTTTCTGTGTGGCAACCTTCCTGTCACCTGAAGTGAAGGAGTGTGTAGTGCTGACACCATGGAATGCACTGGTTTGCTTTTTAGGCCCACATTTAATACAAGCACATTTAGGGATGTAGACAGCCGCATAGCTAGGCACACAGGATGAATGACAGGCTAGAAACTGTTCATTCATCTCTGTTCCATGAGTCCGTTTACATGCAAAATTACTAGAAAGGAGTGATCTAATTAGCAGCATGTTTTAGTATTGAAAAAACAAAATGCAAAAAATGATCAGGTAACTGTGAAATTTTGCAAATAAATATTACGGCCAGATGGTCTGACATGAAGATGCAGAGTGCCTGATTAGGAGAGACAGCTATTGGAGACAGGTTAGTGTTGGCCACATAAGAAAGTATCCTTCATATAGTCATGGCTGACACCCAGTTGGACAGATTGCTTTAGGAGCAGTGCTCATGTAGACGCACACAGGGAATGCATGTTCAGGCCTTTCTGGCCTTACAGATAATAAGTCTAAACAGGCTGACATCTCTAGGAGCAGCGCCCATGTAGACCTGTTGTTCTGCCCATGTAGAAGAAAAGTTCAATCTGTGCTGAAGCAGGCTTAGGATCTAAGCAGACCAAGTAGTTAGGAGGCTGCATTTACAGTTGTGCACAAAAGTTTGCATACCGTGAAAGAAATCATGACATTTTGGCATTGATATTGAAAATATGACTGATCATGCCAAAAACTGTCTTGAAGAACAGTGTCACACAGTTTGGCTCTGTTTTAGGCCTGGTTCACACCTATGCATTTTTTAGTGCTTTTTGCATCTTGCAAAAACTCAGTACAGTCCATTTAACGTGGTTTCCTGTGTGGGCATGTTCACATCTATGGGGTTGATTTACTAAAGGCAAATAGGCTGTGCACTCCAAGAGCAGTTACTTTAGATCCGAGGGGAAGCTCTGAAATGAGGCAAAGCTCCAATGATTTCTTTCATCCAATCATGTGCAAGCAAAAATGCATTTTTATTTTAATTGTTTTTGCATGTCCCCCTCAGATCTAGAGCAATTGCACTTTCAGTGTAACTTGGAGTGCACTTGCAGTACACAGCCTATATACCTTTAGTAAATCGACCCCTATTTGTTTTCAGCCGCTGCATTTTTGGAAAGAATTTTTTTTTTCTTCCCCGCAGCAGATTGCAACATAAGTATGAACCAGGCCTTAAATCATAATAACCAAAATCCCCCAAAATGGCCCTGATCAAAAGTTTACATACCCTGGAATGTGACACAGGTTAAAATGGCAATTAAAGGTTTATTTCTCACATCTGTGGCTTTTTAAATTGCAGTTAGTGCCTGTGTATAAATAGCCAATGAGTTTGTTTGCTCTCATGTGGATGCAATGAGAAGGCTAGATACTGAGCCATGGGAAGCAGAAAGAACTGTCAAAAGGCCTGGGTAAAAAGGTAATGTAATTTTATAAAGATGGAAAAGTAAATAAAAAGATATCCAAAGCCTTGAATATGCCAGTAAGTAGTATTCAATCACTTATTAAGACAAGGACAATTTGGGGATCTCTTGATAGCCAAGCCAAGGTCAGGTAGGCCAAGAAAGATTGAAGCCACAACTGCAAGAAGAACTGTTCGGGATACAAAGAAAAACCCACAGGTCACCTCAGGAAAAATACAGGCTGCTCTGGAAGAAGATGGTGGGGTTGTTTCAAGGAGCACAATACAACGATACTTGAACAAAAATGAGCTCTATGGTTAGCTGTGATGAGCAGAAAGAAGCCTTTACTTTGCCAATGTCACAAAAAAGCCCGGTTACAATATGGCCGACAACACTTTGACACACCCTACAGCTTCTGGCACACTGTAATCTGGTCACAACCATAAGCACTATGTTTGGAGAGGGGTTAACAAGGCCTATAGCGACAAGAACACCATCCCCACTGTGAAGCATGGTGGTGGCTCACTCATGTTTTGCTGTAAAGGCACAGGGCATCTTGTGAAAATTGATGACAAGATTAATGCAGAATGTTATCAGAAAATACTGGCAGACATGCATTCCTCTGTACTTAAGCTGCGCATGGGAAGCTCTTGGACTTTCCAGCACAGAAGTGACCCTAAGCATAAGGCCAAGTTGACCCTCCAGTGGTCAAGTTGCATTAAAAGGTGAAGTTTCTGGAGTGGCTATGTCAGTCTCCTGACCTTTAAAGCAGGGTTCCAGCTGGAAAAGTAAAAAAAATAAAAGTCAGTAACTACTAAAAAACTGTAGCTGCTGCCTTTTAAAACACAGACACTTACCTGTCCCTTGGTCCAGCGGTGTCATCACCACTGCTGGTTTCACCGACTGTCTTCTCTCCCTAGCGCCAGCATCTTCAGTGTGGGCACCCAGCTGTGACAGCTTGTGGCTTCACAGCCGGGTGGCCACTGCGCATGTGTGAGAAGCATTGTGCTTTGTGAATGGCCCCGTAGTCTTCTGAGACCTGTCACATGTCCCTGAAGACTACAGGGAGAGAGGGGGGAGGACACCTTCTGCTTCTGATTGTATAGGCGATCGCAGTGGAAGTGGGAGCGGGTACCTGTCAAATTCTCCCCCCCCTCCCCCCCGCTCTCACTCATAGACCACTATTACAAAAGACTGCATGCTGTCATTGATGCTAAAGGAGGCAGTACACACTATTAGGAACTAAGGGTTTTCAGACTTTTAAACAGGGGTCATTTCATTTGTGTACTTGTTGCCGTGTTTTGTTTTACGATTGTGCCATTCTGTTATGACCTACAGTTGAGTATGAATCCCATAAGAAATAAAAAAAATATTTTGCCTGCTAATTCATGTTTTCTTTAAAAATGTATATTAAAAATTCTCCAAGGGTGGTCCTGATAGTTGGTAATGAGGAAAAAGTGTAAAGACTGCGCGCTCACCAGATACGCAATCACACTGCGCATTTAGAGATATCTATCTCAAAGAACCAGGGTGTCCCCTTTAAGGTCTGGTGTCCCTCTTGAGCCGACATCTACTGCCTGTGGTGGCTCGCCTCCTCTTTGGATGGTAAGAGCTCGTGGAGAGCTCAGAAAAAGTGGAGGCTGATAGCGTAATAACGTTTACACAGAGGGTGCTTTATTAGCCAAATAAAAGTACAAAAAAACACACTGACCAGTAATGGTGTTCCAGGGTGGCTGCCGGGACCACTGAAGTGCCAGCAGCATGGCGTCCTAGTGCTGTAGCCTGCTGACGCGTTTCGTGCGATGGCACATACTCATAGGGGGTCTGCCAGTCACTGGTCACTGTGGTTTTTTTTTTTTTTTTTTTGTACTTTTATTTGGCTAATAAAGCAACCTCTGTGTAAATCTTTTTACGCTATCAGCCTCCTCTTTTCTGAGCTCTCCATGAACTCCACAGAGGAGGCGAGCCACCCACGGGCAGTAGATGTCGGCTCAAGAGGGACACCAGACCTTAAAGGAGACATTCTGGTATTTTGAGATGGATATCTCTAAATACGCAGTGTGATTGCGTATCTGGTGAGTGCGCAGTCTTTACACTTTTTCCTCATCACCAACTATCAGGACCAGTCATTTGGATCCGGAAGACTCCTAGGCACTTTATTATTTGGACTTATACATGGCATTTTGCACATGGCGAGTCACTGATTAGTGACGCACTACACTTATCTTATTTTTTGCACTATGTCACTTTATCACTTATTCTGTGATTTTTTTTTTTTTTTTTTTTAGGAGTACCATTGATATTTATTGATGCTTGAACTACGTCATTTAGACACGATTTAGATTTCCTTTTTGTTTTAAATGTATTTTTATCTGAGCGCTACACCCTGCTGTTGTATAAACTTTTCAGCACAACTGTACTCTGTATCTGTGTGATGCTGAGGTCCCCTGTGAGGGAAAACCTTGTGTAAAGGTACATCTGTTGATGAATAAAAAATGGCGGGAGTCCAAAAATGTACTTTTCTGAGCTGATCCAGTTCCTGGAAGGCTCTCCATTTGGAGCTCCATCTCACAATATCTAAATATTTTCTAGGTTCAGCTAGCAGGTTTGGCTCTAAATATGTCACAGCAGCTGAAATCTCAGTTGTTGAGATGTTACTAGACCTGAATGATTCGTTGTAAGTAGATAAACTCCTGTACATTTCTTAGCTAACATACAAATCCAAGCATTGCAATAACACAGTTTCCGAGAAAACATTTACTGTAGGCAGTGTTGGGCTCTCTTTAGAAATTAAATTAGAGAGATTCTCTGCAAGCCAAATGTTGTGTGGATGTACCCTGTGATAAATGTGGTCTTGTAAAAGTAAACAAGTTTTTAACCTTAATTTTTTTTTTAAATTTAGAATGCAATTACAAAAAAAGTGTATTTTTAAGGAGTCTGCAAACTATTGCTTTCCTTAGAATGTATCTAAATCCCAAATAACTCATTTTTAAATTTGTCGTAGCCTACAACTCCATTAACATGGTGACTGCATTCATTTTTTTCCCAAGCTTTCTTTATATATATTTTTCATTTGATTTTGCCAGTAAAACATTTCCAGTCCCAGTATGACAACACTCACTTGCCATTCTCTATCAGGAAAACTAAAACAATGTAGCACTATGGAAGCCCCATCTCTCTCCTAATCTGTGTAATATAAATGGGTTCTGCAGTCCTCGGAGATAGTTGAACACAGTATAAACTGATTTATATTCGGCACAAGCAGGCAGCACAGAAATTTATCAGTTTAACAAGATTTCTGCCAAGATCAAGGTATTTTTTGTACTTATGAAACTGATATCACAAAACACCTTTTAAAGTTTATACACATTTAAATAATAAACCTTTCCAAACCTGGGTCATTAAGTAGTGCAGACTGCATGTTAAAATGATCAGTAGATCCCAGGATATATGTAGCTGAGGTTGACCTTGGCCTTACCCAGTCCCCTAGATCAATAGGGGGTGGGAGCGATGGGGCTAAACAGTCGTAAAAGAAAAAGTCAAGGTTTGCATGTAAATTCAGCTTCCTGTATCTTCATATTCTGATCACATTGACATGCAGTGTTTTTAAAGAGGATCTTCAGTTGTTTAAAAAAAAAATCATAAAGAGACACTTACCTTTTCAAGGATTCAGTGCTGTCCTCACCCGGGCCAGTTCTTTACTGGTCTGTTGGTCCCTGTTTCTGCCATGTTCACTGTGGGAAGCCCGCTATGACTCCTTAGGGCTTCAATGTGGAGTCTGCTTATACATTATTTTTAGTAGAAATTCCTTGCAACAGGTGTATTTTTTTATTTTTTTTGTTTTTGACTCTGCTCTTTTATTACAGCTAGCTAGGATGAGGCATGAGATAATCGTGGCCCAATCTATTCTATGCAGACATCCCACCTGCCAACTCTCATTTGTCTGAAATCCCTTTTCCTTGCTTAATTCCTATAAACATGTGTTCAACCCAGAGATATGCAGAAGTCCGTGCCTGCACACTTTTATTTCTGTCATACTGTACCTTTTAGCCAACTTTAGCATTTCCAGCTGTTTTAGTTTAGTACCAGCCAGTTTCTGCAGTTGAGAAATATACATTTCAAATGTTTTTTTAAAAGGTCTTGCTTTTTCCACAGATAGGTCACCGACACGTGGTAGATGCCACCTTGCAGGAAGAAGCCTGCTCTTTGGCCAGCATCCTGGTTGCTATAAACATCAAAGGCACCCTGACTTGCATGAGAAAAATGGGCAAAGGAAGCTTGGATCCTGAATGCATCTTTGAGATGATTGAGGTAAAGACATGACTAGTGAGACTGCCAAATGCAGACGTGGTTCTGTGGAATGTTGTTTTTTTTTTTTTCTTTAAAGTGGAAATGGCATCTAGTAAATCAAGTAGTAGTCAAAGCAACACTAATACTCCTAATAACTACGCATTTCTAGCAGTCCACCTGCCAGATTAGCATTATTCAAAATGAGGTTGTGGGACTGTCTGCTAATTACCTAACACTAATTCCAGTGCACTAGTGTGAATGACTGACAATGACTTAATGAAAGCACTACTGCAACGCGTATGTGTGTGCATAGTAAAATTTTATTTGTGTTCAGTAGAATTTTTCAATGTGTTTTGGGCACTCCAGGCATTCCCCATTATTATGGTTGAAGTATAATAGGTTAAAGTCTGGACAGGAATGTTCTCTCTGCATATGCAGTTTCCATATATGCAGCTGTTGTACACATGCATGTTTCTCACACTCTGATATGCAGCTCCGAAACATCTAAAGCAGTGTTGTACATGTTTGGGGTCGCCTAAACCATCGCATGATGAAAGAGCAGACTGTTCTGCTCTCACACTCTTAAAAGATTTTTTGAAAGCAAGGTCACTCATGAATTATAATTACTGGGTAAATAATTTTAGGATTGGGGGTCACCACAACATAAGGAACTGTACCGGCAAGGAAGGTTGAGAACATCTAAAGGCTTTTATCTCTCTGCTATGCTATACTATCGCTGACCTTTTTTAAAGTGTTACTAAACCCACAACAGTAAAATCAGTCTATATATGCAGTAAAGCATGCTTGTTATACTCACTGTGGAACCTAAGGGGATAATCCTCCGCATTGTGTAGAAAGGCTGTTTGATCCTGTCTTCTCTGATCCTCCTTCTACTGTCCCCAATCCATTTGCTGATAGAACAGAGAATTGTGCAGCTGCAATTCTCTGTTGTTTGATTTTGTGTGCCAGATAGGTGTTTTGTTTTGTTTATTATCACAAGACTTCTCTGCCTGCTGATTAGGTAAAGCAGTATTTTTTTCCAGCAGGTTATGATTGGGTTTACAAAAATAATTTCCATGTGTGTACTGTGGTGAGTCAGACCAGATATATTTCATGTGAATGCAGGGTCTTGGGTTTAGTAACACTTTAAGGATTACCCCTCTAATGCAGCAAAGCATTGGGAGAGCAATTGTAGACCCCTTCATAGATGATCAGTGAGAAGTGCATTGCAGGCGGTCCAGATTTGTTCCCTTAATGTTTCCCAATAGCACTTTCAATAGTAAATTCTTTTTAGGTCCCATTACACTCCCTCCAAACTCTTTACAATGGGGTTGTGGATGACCCACTTTGTGGCAGGTATCGTAGGGATCACAGGGATTTAATACACTTAATTTGGTATTGTCCCAAACTTAATATTTATTGGACTGGTGCGGTAAGTACCTTGAATTTCAGTCTAATATCCAAGCCAGTCCAAAGCAATGAATTCTAGGTGTTTTAAACACTTTGGCACAATACTTTTACTAAAGATACTATTTCTGGTGTTATGCAAACTTATATTATGTTGTTGGAAATCAAATCACTCACCAGCATGGAAGGGCCAGGAGCGCCTGCAGGGGACCCAAGAAGAGGAGAGTCAGAGTCTTCTTTACAAACAGTTCTCCCCCCCCCCCCATTGGAGATGCTTCTCAATCACCAACAGCCGCGAATGGCGGGCTGAAGTACTTCTGCTATAGGGCGGATGGGAAGCGGTTAATTGAGACAAGTACACACTATAGAATGATATGCTTTGTTTATACTTCATGTCTGAGGTTTACAACCACTTTAATGCACCTAAACAATGTAGATGGTCACCACTCTGTTCCCATTCCACGACTGAACAGTAAAGAGGAAGCTGCAGACTGAGGTCATCCCTCTGCTCACTGTGCTCTCTCTCCTCCTGTAACACATCTAATTGGCTCCTTTTTCTGACCCTCTCTCAGTCTGAGTTCTACTGTACGTAGAAAAAAGGATGATGCCAAGTCAGATTTATATGACAATTATAGATGAATACAACTTCAACACTGCTTTTGTATCAGTTGTGCTGTCAGTCAGCATAATAAGGAAGGGACACAAGGGAACAAGTATGTACATCAGAAAATAGGTAGGTCCTTCATTTCCACACTTGTTCCATGTCATTAATTCAAGGTAGGGATGCAACAAGTACAGTTAGTGAAGTCAGGACTCTGATGCAGAAGGTATTTAGGTATTGCATCAGTATGTCATTGGGCAGCATGCATTTTCATGACATGAAATATACACTCACCGGCCACTTTATTATGTACACCTTGCTTGGACCCCCTTTTGTCTTCAGAAATAGCTGAATTCTTCATGGCATAGACTCCACAAGGTATTGGAAACATTCCTCAGAGATTTTGGTCCAGAGTAACATGAGTTACTGTTGCCTTTCTATCATCTAGAACCAGTCTGGCCATTCTCCTCAGACCTCAATAAGGTGTTTTCGTTCACACAACTGCCGCTCACTGGATATCTTCTTTTTTTCGGACCATTCTCTGTAAACCCTAGAGATGGTTGTGTGTGAAAATCCCAGTAGATCTGCAGTTTTTGAAATATTCAGACATGCTTGTCTGGCACCAACAACCAGGCCACGTTCAGAGTCACTTAAATCCCCTTTCTTCCCCATTCTGATGCTCTGTTTGAACTTCAGCAAGTCATCTTCATGACATCTAGATACCAAAGTGCATTGAGTTGCTGCCATGTAATTGACTGATTAGCCAATTTGTGTTACCATGCAATTGAACAGGTGTACCTAATAAAGTGGCCGTTGAGTGTAAATCAGCAATGACATTCATTGTATTTCCTCAGTACAGGTTTCCTTTAACTCTGTTCATGTTGCACCATAAAGGAGGTTAAATTTCTCACAAATATGTAGATAAATATTTAAAATGGACAGTAACTACTGCATAATATCTCATTAATGTAATCATTTTTGCAAATGAAAACAGAATTACTTCCCACAGTTTTCACAAAACATGAATATTCAGTGACAAAATGTATCGCTTTTCATAGAGTTCTGATTTTGAACCAGGTCACTGTATAATAAGAAGGACACACTGTTAAATATCCAAGTCTTTTGCATTTAGCTATATTTACATTATTCTAATGAGCTTTATACCTCTGACAGATAGATGTGAGTTGAAAATATTTGCCGGCTTTCAGTAGTTTTTATGGAAGATAAATCACATGGCCTTTTTTACAGAATCAAAATTTTTTTTAAAAAAGGAACTGTGGAAGTTGTGCCCACAAACAAAAGGGGGAAATCTGGGGCAAAGGACTACTCATCAGTTTTGCCTGTGGTCTCCCTCTGCAGCTCTTTTCTCCATTACTGACCTATCATGCTTTTTTTTTTTTTTTTTTTTTTTTTTTTTTCCTGCACCATGCCTCTTTGATGGCCAGCTTGGTGGAGGCACAGGTCTTTGGTTCCTCATGCCTGATGGGTGATTGGACAACTAGTGGGGGGGATATTTAAAAGCACTTGGGTAGGTTCAAAAATCTTAGATTCACAGAATGAATGCGGAAGTAATGGGGTAATGCATACAGGATAGATTACTCTCCAACAAGCAGCACAGTATTGAGCACACCTAATATAATTTCAAATCTCCTGAGACAAACTGTTGGAAGAAGCAGTGCCTTAAATGAGCTGGCACTGCAGATATAAAGCTATTGGGCTATATTATTATTATTATACAGTATTTATATATCGCCAATAGTTTGCGCGCACTGTACATTATAGTGGGAGACAGTACAGTAACAATACAATGCGATACACGATATAGGTACAGGATTGCCTAGGCACCCTCACATACCACACGGTGTACAGCTATTTAAACCATTTCCGGACCAGTGACAACTTGCTGTGGTTGAACTGGAGTGATGCCTGCAGCGCCACTTTTAAAAATCTGAAAGCATGCAAAAACACAGATGTTTTGAGATCTTGATGTTTTGTTGTGCAGATCGCTCTACACATGTAAGGTATTGCCATGAACATGATATCAGATTATGGGGCAGTCATTCCATACAGATTATGGGCACATAGACCTCCTCTGTAAATCTAAAGTGGTAACCTGTAAAGGCTTTTGAAGCATCAGCCATGAATAGTAAAGTTTACGTCGTTTGTTGCCCTTTTTCACGGGCGTGCACAATTTTAAAACATGACATGTTTGGTATCTATTTACTTGGCGTAACATCGTTTTTTTATATTTTACAAAAATTGGGTTATGTATTGTTTACTTTTATTTTTTTGCAATGAAATTAAAATAAAAAATTTATTTTTACCAAAAATTGCGTTTTAAAAACCGCTGCGCAAATACTGTGTGACATAAAACATTGCAAAAAGCAATATATCTCTAGGGCCTCTGCTTTAAAAAAAAAATTTATATAATGTTGGGGATTCGAAGACCTATTTTAGAGCAAAAAATACTGATTTTAAAATGTAAACAAAGTGCCAGAAATGGCCTGGAGCTAAAGAGACAAAGTGATGTAAAACTGAAAAATTTTCAGAAGGGAAAACCTTCCATATTTGTACTTGCTTAGGAAAGATTTCCTCTGATTTTCTGTAAGAAGTGAAGTGAAAAGAATTTTCTTTAATGGGATACAACAGCAGAAACCTAATCAGGGCTACTCCCCACTCTATCCAAACCTAAAAAAAGAAAAAAAAACTGGCTTTAGCTATATCTTTAAGCGGACGTTGAGCTAGTTTTTTTTTTTTTTTTTTTTTTCATGTTCCCTCACTGAAGCTATACAGCAAAAAGAAAAAAATTAAACTTCAACTTAATTAACAAAAAAAAAACTTACAAAGGAGTCTAAAAATAAGGGTTTAAAAAAAATTACCATGAATCCCAACTTCTATTCACTGAGCAATGGTTACATCACCAAGTCTCACTGCTGTCTCCTAGGAATGCCTGGCGCTAAAAGTCCCTTCAAAAGGTGTTTATGCAGTCTGTCAGTTAATGCTTTAATTGACAGTCGGAGAAATG